CGCCCCCCCTTTGACAGTTTACGTGGGCTGGGCTGGGTGCAGTGGCGGACTGGCCATCAGGTCTGTCAAAATGCATCTTACGTTTGTAACTTGCAATATCATTATTTCCGCTCTCTTCACTCCAGAAGAGCGATCTCCCTGTGTCTCTCTGTGTGCGGGGGGCGGGGCCTAACAGACACGCTGCAGCGGACACAGAGATCTGCCGGGGACGGAGAGAGTAGAGGGAAACATTTTGACTAAAAGTTGACTAAAATGTAATTTTTCATCGACACATTTAGACTAAAACGTTTTGAGTTTTCGTCGACTAAAACTAGACTAAAACTACGAAGGATAGGAATGACTGAAATGTGACTAAAACTAATAACCATTTTCATCTAAAGACTAAATCAAAAGCAGCTGCCAAAATTAACACTGGTTCATACGGAGCTGGGAAACCTGGAAAAAGCATTTTCTTGCGAATTTTGAGTTTAATTCCATTTCTCTCTGCTTTGAGGGAGAGTTTACTGAACCGACAGCGGCTCCGATGGAAAGCTAGAGATAAGAGTAGAAATGAAAGGGTGATTATGAATTGGGAAGGTTATTAATCACACTAGGTTGGAGTTAAAGACAGGGTTCATACGGTGGTGAGACGCCTGGAAGGTTCCTTCAAAGAAGTGTTGAAAAAAGGACAGTCAAAGAAATTGGTCTCTTATTTTTTTATATACAACGTATTTTGAAAAGCTTTTACTTGTTTTGTTCAATCAGAAAAAGAAAAACAACCATTTTAGATTGTAGCTATGTGAGTGTATCTGTTGTGAATTTGTGGAAGGGGTTTTAAATGCACAGATCCAACCTGTACACACAGAAATGTGGACAACAAGACATCAACTGTTTCCCCATCTCCCTCCAATCCTTAATATCAGTTACCTTTTAGACTCACTTCATCATTTATACCCGAAGACTTCACAGAATCTGAATTCATACTCGTGAAATCGTAGAATAATGAGCCATAAAGTGCTGCTTTCTGTTGTTGCGTTCATTTCTTAACTCTCTCCTCTCCCCCCCCCCCCCCAGGTATACGTGACCTCAGAGAGTCGTTTCTCCACGTTAGCGGAGCTGGTGCACCACCACTCCACGGTGGCCGACGGCCTGGTCACCACGCTGCACTACCCGGCTCCAAAATGCAACAAACCCACGGTGTACGGCGTGTCCCCCATCCACGACAAGTGGGAGATGGAGCGCACAGACATCACCATGAAGCACAAGCTGGGGGGGGGGCAGTACGGGGAGGTGTACGTGGGCGTGTGGAAGAAATACAACCTCACCGTGGCCGTGAAGACACTCAAGGTGAGAAGACGGAACAGAAACCAGAACCAGAAACGTGTTTTTATTTGTACCAAATCAACAAAACCGTAAATTAAAAAGTATTAAAGTAGCAGCCAGTAGTAAATAGTAAAAGTAGAACAGAAGACGGAACAGAAATGGGTTTGCACCACAGGACGGACATCTTAGACATGAATGGTATTAAATAAAGAGGCATTCAATAATAATAATACATTTCCAGAAACCCAAAGACTTTACAGAGTCATACAATCATAAAAACAACATTAATTACAGATGAAATGCAGATTTTAAGCTTGTGCATTCAAGGTAGCTTAGATAGGTAGCTGTCCTTTAAGAATGAAGTGGATCAAGCAGCATGTAAACGAGGCATTGCACATGTATTAAACATTCAATTAACTGCATATCAAATGTACAAAATCAACAAAACTAAAAAGTACTAAAGTTTCAGCCAGTAGTAAATAGTCAAAGTAGTTATTACAGGGAGTGTTGTTCTGTAGTAAGTGCTGCAAAAATAATAATTATGATGGTAATAAAGTATATTTACTCGAGTGCTATACTCATGCATGACGAGTCCTTCAGTAAAAAGAAGAAAGCACAATATTTACCTCTAACAGATTCTCTTTACAGCTGCGTATACTTGTCTAAAACTGAGCTCTGCTGTAGAAAGCTGCATTCTAACGGTGGTTACAGACCGCCCCCTGCAGGCTGACGGTGGTATTACACTCTGTCCAACCCTCTGATATATTCCCTGTTTTTCTTTTTGCACTCATTTGAATTCTCTGATTGACAGGAGGACACCATGGAGGTAGAGGAGTTTCTGAAGGAAGCAGCCGTGATGAAGGAGGTCAAACACCCGAACCTGGTTCAGCTGCTCGGTCAGTATTTAACAAAAACTGCTTTGGCACACACTTCCACTCTCAGGCCTATTGTGTCTTAGCCTCTACCCAAACAGACCTTTTGTTAAGTCCTTCCAGAGAGGAGACTATCAAAGCTCGTCTACATGTCAATACTGAAAACAAAATGTGTGTTTGGGGACGTCAAAGATGTCCCGTTATTGTCTTCGTGAGGTCTTATATATTAGATGTTGTGCAATGACGCACAGACAATACTAGTAGCAGGCTTTCTACGTGTTGAAACATGAACTCTCGGAGGTCTTAGCCCTTGTTTCATGTTAGACTTGTTTATTAATATACCTGCATTGCTTGTAAATGCTATTGAAACCCTGTGCTGCTCAATCAAGTCATAAACATGTTTCATAAGAAGCTAAGCTATCAGCATAGGCTACAGGGATGTACACGTAGTTATGAGACCATATGTACAACTTACAATGCTTCATGGGATGCATAATAAGATCTACAGTCTGTATCTAACTCCTACAACATCTACAGTTACTTCCATCGTGGATAACTGTTCATAAAATACATTGTTTGTTTATACGCTTCTTGAAAATGGTACAAACTAGCGGCAACATGTGAGATGGAGGTGTGGCGCTGGGCTACACCAGGCAGGTGAAAGTGAAATGTAAGCTCTCTCTGTTGTGGAGATAATCCCGCGAGAGTGGGAAAAAGTTAATTTAAAATCCCCCTTTATTGAGACTAAGAGATGTCAGAATGCAGTGTGGGGGTCATGGATGACTCCCACCACACCCACCCCTCTGTTTAACACCTCTCCGTGTGGCCGTACATGTTGCTTGCCTGTGTATTGACCATGTCTCTCTCAGGTGTGTGCACGCTGGAGCCGCCCTTCTACATCGTGACGGAGTACATGCCCCACGGGAACCTGCTGGACTACCTGAGGGACTGCGATAAGGAGGAGGTGAACGCCGTGGTGCTGCTCTACATGGCCACGCAGATCTCCTCCGCCATGGAGTACCTGGAGAAGAAGAACTTCATCCACAGGTGAGAGGACGCAAGAGGGAGGCAGCAGACGTTTATTACCCCCAATTCTATAACACATAGGTTTGAGCAAGCTCTCTGATTGGTCAATAGGGCGTGTTTGATTCCATGATCAAACAACGATCAAATAGAACGTGCCTAATCACAAAGTATCCAGTGGCCTACACACGCCACTAGCCTACCGAAACTACTTCCATGAGCCTACATCGTGTGGTTTCCATAGCGACGTTTAGCGACACACAGCCGTTACACTGTTATACATTGTCTCTCGTTGGAAATCGGTAGCTACAAAATGTCAGATTTTAAAGTTAATTTTGATTGGTTGGGGGGCCTCAGTATTGATGAACGGTTGGACACGGACACGGACCACAAAACCAACGAAAGATTTGCGGCTGTTTCAACTGACGAGTTGAGTCGTTACCATGGGAACTACTTTCTAGGAACTACTTTCTGACGGAGATTAACTCAAGCAGAAAGCGTAGGTTTGGGAGCAAATTAGCCCACATTATGAAATTATTTTACGATATTGTTGATTACAATGATAGTTTGTGTAATAGAATCGCAATCATACATACATACATATGATTGCTTAAAGGAATCACAGATAGTCCTTTTTAATAAAACTCCTCAAATGGCTCCAAAAACACCTGAAATCTGCCTGAAAAGCATCACAGATAGGACACACGTATTATAGTCTCCATCCTTTTCATTGGATAACGACACATCTTTAACAAACTCTTATCATGGAGAAAGGATCCATGCAAACACTTTCTACCAAGCTAACCAGATGTTTCCATCTCATGTAAGGCTTGTTCCGTCGCCCCGGTAACCACGTCTTAATTGATGTTTTTTGGTGACAAATCAAGCAAACAATCTCAAATTAGGTTCTTCATGAATCATAAGATCCCCCTTCATAAATAAAGAGTAATAACTGTTATCTCTTGCATTAGAAGTCTTGTATTTCTAGGCTTTTCTCCCATGATAGTGAGTTTTACATATTTATCAAACCCACTTAAATAAAGGTTTTCACTAAGGGAGCTAAAATGGAAATTCCCTACTCATTGTGTCTTAAGATAATAAGCACGTTATTGATCCCAAGTTGGGAAATGTTTGCGTTGCAGCAGCATAACGAGACATGGCATTGTACATACACATTTAAATACTAGAAATAAACATTCCACAATGTCAACATCTCACTAGAAATAAAATAGCATTGAAGAAAATATACAAAAACAAACAAAGACTTTTACATAAGGTCTTGATAACTCATTACCGTAATTTTCGGACTATAAGCCGCACCTGAATATAAGCCGCAGCAGCGGCATACCACTCTCGGTTCCACTTTTACTTTTGCGCGCTACCTGTCTCACTCTTTTCCGGCCTCCAGCTTTTCCTGCTGGAACC